ATTGGGGAAGCCGGGGGCACAGCAGCTTCAGTGGGCCGGCTGCCATCAGATGCCGGACCAATGGAGTTTTACTGTACATGCAAATAGCTTATTTCACACTGACGGGAATGAATACAAAGATTAAGGCAAGACTACACAACACACAGATCCCATTTAAGTCAGTTCTGCTGATATACAATATTTACCCAATTTTCACCTCTATGACAGAACTTTTAATGAGCAATGACAGTCCCGGAATTTAACTATCAGATGCCGGACCAATGGAGTTTTACTGTACATGCAAATAGCTTATTTCACACTGACGGGAATGAATACAAAGATTAAGGCAAGACTACACAACACACAGATCCCATTTAAGTCAGTTCTGCTGATATACAATATTTACCCAATTTTCACCTCTATGACAGAACTTTTAATGAGCAATGACAGTCCCGGAATTTAACTACTAAAATGCATATAAACGGAAAACCATTATATTTACTACTTTTTTGTTTTGACTCTCTCTCGAGGGCCACAAATACCCATGGGCCACGTGTTGAGTAGCCCTGATTTAAAGACGTCAAGTTACAGCCTTTAAAAGCCAATTAGGTGGGTGGGTATGGGGTTTTTTTGTTTTTTTTCTTGCCTCCACTATTCCTCCTTTTCTGATTGTTGGAAACCTTCCTCTAATTTCAGGTCTAATCTTGTTGAAAGCCTGTTTATATCTATGTATTCTTCTGTAAGCACAGGCTCTTAACTCTTCTCGCTCTCTGGTATTTATCTCTTTGTTGAGTCCCCAGCATATAGCAAAAAATCCTGTTAGTCCTTAATAATTCAGAGTACAAGGTTACATATTTAAATTTAATTTTACTACAGTTTTCAAGTTTGTTAGATCTTCTTGTGTGATATTCTAGATTACTTCTGTATGGGCAATAACTCCTAACTTTGCGTTATCTGCATCTTTCTTAGCACCCTTCCATTTTTTTTGTATCAAGGTCGTTAATAAAAATGTTACATGTAGTTGGTCCCAAAACTGATCCCTGAAGAACTCCCCTGTAACCTGACTCCAGTCTGACAGTTTACCTTTCATCATCACGTGTTGCAGTCTTCCTTATCCTCCTTCCAGTTCTGATAGCAATCCCCATCTTCTCCAATTTAACTAATATTTTCCCACTTGGAACTGTATCAAATTTTTTACTGATATCCACTGCATTTTCTTTATCTAAAAAAATAAGTATCCTTCTCAAAGAATATGATTAGGTTGGCCTGAAATGGTCTACTTTTTATAAAACCATCTTACATTTTATCACAATTACTGTATACTGAGGTAATTTCTTTTTCAAAATTTGTTATAAGACCATACATACAATTGAAGTCAAAGTGACAGTCCCTTCTTTTAAGAATGGGAAATAAAGTGATCCAGGAACCTATAGGCCTATGTTAGCAGTATTCCAGAGTATGTCTACACTACCCGGCTAGTTCGAACTCGTGGGGTAATGTAGGCATACCGCAATTGCAAATGAAGCCCGGGATTTGAATTTCCCGGGCTTCATTTGCATAAGCGGGGT